AGTTCAAGGCATTCGGTGTCTGTCCAGTGATGAGTAGCGTTAGTTCAAGGCATTCGGTGTCTGTCCAGTGATGAGTAGCGTTAGTTCAAGGCATTTGGTGTCTGTCCAGTGAAGGAGCAGCATTAAAGTACTCACTATGGCTTCCGTGCAGTAAGCAAGCAACATTAGTTCATTTCAAGCATGTGCCAGAACTGGTTTTGTATTTCCATGTCTATGATCCAAGTGAAATCAACCATTATCTCCTGCAGGTCAACTTCCAACTTTGTATGACTTTCATTTTGATAACAAACGGAATCAATGGGTGCCATGGAGCAAATTAGTTCCAGAGTATATTCATGTCCCCGAGAGGAAATTTGTCGATATCCTGGGTAAGTCAGAGTCAAACCCTGGTTCCTGGGTTTAGGAGTGTGTGATCCTCGCTCCGGGAGGAGGCGAGGAAGATCCCATGGCTTCTCTGGTACTCTAAGTCCCACACAGAGAGCTGGGAGAGAAGAACTGAAGAGGCTGAATTGTGGGCCCTCCTGGGCACAGAGGGTGGCCCCCTTGGTATTTTTGTCAGCTGCTGGCTCTGAGCATCTTCTGTGGCTGTGCCTCCCAGCTCTTTCCCCAGCAGGCTGAGCCCCACGGGCAGATGAGATGCTGTCTCGCCTCCCCTCGCCTTTCCCTGGGCTCTGTTCAGTCCACAGAGCTGGCTGGGTGGAGACCAAGTGACAACAATTGAGGCAGAATTTTATAAAGGGCGTTGGCTTGGAAGCTGTGTACCATGGGCGTTTATAGACTGAGTCACATTTATAATGCGCCCCTCTGGCTATTTAGATAAAATATGAGTTGAATAATTTCACAAAGCTTGTGCCTGACTTTGGTCCATTGAGCTTATAGAGTGAGACGTCCCTGTTTCCTCAGGAGCCCATCAGGATTAAAACCTGACAGTGCAGGAGGGAACCAGACCCGATGCTGTGGTTTCACTGTCTCTTCAGAGGAAGGTGTTGGTCAGGAAGTTAAATCCCGCAGGGGTCTGAGTGATGTCAGCCACGGAGAAGCTGAGTTTTGAATATCCTGAGTATAAGTCAGAACTGCACCTTCAAAACAGCTTGGGCGTTCTAACCCTGGGCCGCGTGATGCTGGCACTGCTGTAGAAGTGCCAGTCATGGCATTATACACTTAAATGGACGAACGTTTCCAAGGGCATGCCTTGGCTTCGCTGCTGTTTTTTATGGGATTTGTGGGATTCTAGGACAACCCCAAATTGCCGAGTGCTTACCCGATCGGAGCTGCTGTGATGCCTTATTCTTAATATCTATTTTAGTTCACACAGTGGACACCACTCGGACTACCTGGATATTGGAACAAATGGTCAAAATTAAGCAACCTGTTATTTCTGTTGGTGAATCTGGCACTTCTAAGACAGCCACTACCCAGAATTTCCTCAAAAATCTGAGTGAGGAAACCAATGTAAGTCATTATTCGTATGAGTTATCTATTGCTGTGTAGCAGATTATTCCAGCGCATAACAGCTTCATACAACGAGCACTGTGATCTCATAGTTTCTGTGGGTCAGGAATGTGGGAGTCACTTACCTGAGGACTTCCAGCTCAGGCTCTCGTGGGATTGCGGTCAAGCTGCTGGCCAGGGCTGTAGATATCTGGAGGCCTGGCCAGAGCTGGAGAATCCTCATCTGAGATGATGTTTCACATGGCTGGAGGCTGGAGGCCTCAGTTCCTCACCGTGTGGCCCTCTCCACGGATGGCTTGGGTGTGCTCCACATGGTAGCGTGTGCTTAAGATAGACAGCAAAGCAGATGGTTTGATGTCTTTTATGACCTGGCCTTGGAAGTCACATACCGTCCCTTCTGCCATAATCTATGGGTGAGACAGAAGCCACCGAATTCCCTGATACAGTATGGAAGGGGCCTGCACCAGGGTGTGGGCACCTGGAGGCGAGGCTGATCTGGGCCCTCTTGGAGGCTGGCTGTCACATTATTCACCATGATTTTTGGGTTTCTAAAACTTTTTAAGTGTTTCCTTTCCTTCCTCCAGCCAGCTACATGTCCAATGTGTGGGGGTTGGATATGTACCAGGCACGGAGCTCGTGGGGTGCACAGGACAAGTGACAGTGAGCAGGCTGTCAAGGTCTGCTCTGGAGGGGTCCTCAGGCAGTTGGGGGATAAACATGGAGATGAGCACAGGGAGCATGGCAGTGTTTGCAGCCAAAGGGACCTACAGGTTTGTGGAGTCAGGCACTAGGAAGCCTCATCGGAGAGCCTCCTTTGCAACACCCCTCCCCTGGTGCTCAGCCCAGCCAGATGCGCCTCAACACAGTTGCTTAGCAAGGCACACATTCAGCTTCAGCACATTCAGCTCGTGTGCACCTGCACTTTGGATGCCCTACTTGGAGAGAGTCATGGAAGGCAGCAGTTCGTTTTCAAAGTGTGGTCCCCAGACTCATAGCCTTGGCATCACTGGAAACTTGTTTAAAATACCCAGACCACCAGGTGTGGTGACTTGTGCCTGGTAGTCCCAGTTATTCAAGAGGCTGAGGCAGGAGGACCACTTGAGGCTGGGAATTCAAGGCTGCAGTGAGCCATGACCGTGTACCACTGCACTCCAGCCTGGGCAACAGAGCACGTCCCTACCTCTTAAAAATAAGAAAACAAAAAGCACCCTGATCTACCTAATTGGAAACTCTGGGGAATGGAGCCCCGCAAGGTGTGTGGCACAGCCCTGCAGGTGGAGCTGATGCATAATTAGTTAAGTGTGAGAACCACTAATGAAGGAGCTCTCACCAGCCTCAGCGTGTGGCAGGAGGACCTGAGGACACACGCGTGAGCATCCAGGGGGCATCCCTCACCTTTCCCTCCAGCACTTAGTCCCAAAGCGTGAACCACTTGTAGTCCATGCTCTCTTTGACCTCTTTAGATACAGCCAGCGCGATAGTGATTTATGTTTGAATATTGTCATATTGAAAATGCTGTTAGGTATTGCATCTCATACAATGCAATCACTCTGTGAAGTTGTCCAAAGAGATGGCATTACAATCATCTTACAAGAGAGAAAAACGAGGCTCCGAAAGGTTGAACGACTTTTGGAAGTCGCCTTGCTAGAACTGTGCAGAAACAAGACCCTCAGTCCACTTTCTTCTATGCCACATTGTCCCTAAGGCTCATGTGCGACAATTGGCTGTTGACTCATACAATCTGCTGAAAGGAAAGAGGAATTCTTGCTTTATCACTTGCAAAATAATGAAGCGCTGACTCACACTGGATTATTAAAAAGTTAGTCCAGAGGCCAGTAGATTTGCAAAATAGATGTTAGCTTATGTGCAAATGTTTATTGCTGCTACCCTGAAGAAAAGGCCAACTTTTCACGTCATCTCTTTCTGCTTCAGATCGTGTTAATGGTCAACTTCTCCTCCCGCACCACGTCCATGGATATCCAAAGAAACTTAGAAGCAAATGTGGAAAAGCGAACTAAAGACACTTATGGCCCGCCCATGGGAAAACGCCTGCTGGTGTTCATGGATGACATGAATATGCCGAGGGTAGTCAGACGCTTCGGCAGGTGGAGGGAGGGGCCGAGATGGTGCCTGTGTTTGTATGGGGAGGTGTTAGAAGTGAGTATGAGGACATTGATCTTTATCCCTGCACAACGTCTGCAGGGTGCAGGCTGGGGGAGCCAGCCTAGGGCAGGATGTGCCTGGGATGCTCTTCTTACACAGAGGGACCTTCCCTGACGGATCTTGTTCCTTAGTTTCTTAGAGGAGGAATGCAGGCAGCAGGCAGGCTTTGGACTTAATTCAGCATGTGTTTGAGGAAGCTGTTTCCAAAGGAGCTCTTCTTTAGATAATAATACTGTTGTTGACCCCATGTACATGGGAGGCATCCGGGCAGACCTTCCCAAGAATTCCTCTGGCGTTTTCAAGGAAGAGAAACTTGAGCTGTGTGATGAGTGTGTTTCTGGGGTCAGAGCCTGAGAAGTACAAAGTTTTTTTAGCATATTGGAATTGGAATTTATATTATTTCACAGAACCATTTTTTTCCTTAAAGTCTATTTCCAGAAGGACTGTATGCAAAGCCAGGATCCACCCATCCATCCATCCATCCATCCATCCATATGTTCATTCATCTGTCAGTCTATTTTTCTACTTATCCATCCATGTGTCTGTTTTTTTATCCACCCATCTGTTATTTACCCATCTGTTCATCCATCAAACCATATATCTCTCTGTTCATTCATATATTTATTCATCTACCCATCTATTCTGTTTACCCAATCTGTCTGTTTTTCCATCTGCCTTTGTATTTATCCATCTAGCCGTCTGTTCATTCACCTGTTCATCCATCCATCCATCCATCCATCCATCCTTCCTTCCATCCATCCATCTGTCTGTCCGTCTCTCCATCTGTCCATCCATCCATCCATCCGTCCGTTTGTCTCTCCATCTGTCCGTCCATCCATCCATCTGTTTCTCCATCTGTCCGTCCATCTGTCTGTCTGTCCGTCTGCCCATTAAATAGATGGTCCAATCAGTCTGTCATTATCAATGTATGAATTACCCAATGTCTTTGCTTATGTTAAAGGAAGTAAGGGACAAATGCTTGGCTTAAGGCTTGATGCTTTGTAAGCCCCTGAGTTGAAACAGGTGAAAGCAAGAGAAGCAGAAGTGTCAGTATGTGGACAGGCACATCACACCCCCTGGGTGGGACTGCATTATTGACTTCTTGTCTGTCCATCTATCCATTTGTCCATCCATCCATCTGTCCATCCAACCATCCATTCATTAACTGAATTAACATATATTTATTCAGCACTTCCTATGGGACTGGTGCTGTGTAGTCAACACCTATGTAGTTCCTGCCCTCATGAAGCCATAGTCGCGTAAGGGAGACAGACTTCAAAAAACACAATCACAAATGCGTATATACAGTTGCAGCCTTTGAGACGCCCCATGAAACTGCAGCCAGGGTGCCCTGGAGAGTCACAGGAGAAGTGAGCTTGTGGTGGGATGGTCAGCCAAGGCCTCTCTGACTCCGGCTTTGTGATAATACTGTTCTCTTTTCTTTTTTTATAAAAATCAAGGTGGATGAATATGGCACACAGCAGCCAATTGCCTTGCTGAAGCTGCTGTTGGAAAAAGGCTACTTATATGACCGTGGCAAGGAGCTGAACTGCAAGAGCATTCGAGACCTTGGCTTTATCGCTGCGATGGGAAAAGCCGGAGGGGGCCGCAATGAAGTTGACCCGAGATTTATTTCACTATTCAGTGTCTTCAACGTGCCATTTCCTTCAGAGGAGTCTCTGCATTTAATTTATTCCTCCATTCTGAAAGGCCATACCTCGGTAACTTGATTTTAATTAGAAGTCTAAACCGGAAGAGCTTGTATTGGGAGGGAACATGCGCAGGGCTGATGTATCCATTAGGTACGGCAGGGTCAAAGCCTAGGGCCCTCGATACTTTTAAGGGCCTATGAAAATGTTTTATTTTCTTTCAAAATCAGAAGAAAAAAATCATCTTTATACAAATGCCAATATAAAATGTGATTGTAACATGTTTTTATGGAGGAAGGAGTCCATGGAGGCAAAAGTGCCTTGGGCCTGTGGGAGTCGTGGCATGGACCTGAGATGCTCATGCCACACTGAGTGACTGCAAAGAATCCACTAGCAGGCTGGGGTCCTGGAGTCAGTCCCCATTCTGCTCTGTGAGCAGGTTCCTTGAACTGTCCTAACCTCATTGTCGTTTGGAGGGGGGAGATCCTGATGGTCCCCACCTCACTGGGTTTTGGGAGGAAATGCATGTAAAGGGTGTGACACGCTGCCTAGCGCATAGCAGATACTATGTTGCTAGTTATTGCTATTATTATTATGGTTTACTTGGCTTCTCCAAGTGGAACCCATTCATTTAAATAACCATCTTCTGATCCTGGCATTTTCCTACTAAAGCGGGGTCTGCATACTCAGAGGCTCCAGAGGCCAGGTGGGTAAGATAAAGGTGTGGCGGGGCCAGGCATGATCAGTAGGAACTGTGAGCACCTGGCCTGTTCATGCCCTACTTGAAGGCATTTACTTTCAAAACTCTGAGGTCTGTGCTGGTCAAATAAAGCTCCCACCGAGGGCTGTGTAGGGTCTTTGGTTTCACATCATGTTGACTTGTCAGTTAATGTGAAAATCTAGAGCAATAGAAATAAGTCAGGCCAGGCGTGGTGGCTCACATCTGTAATCCTAGCACTTTGGGAGGCCGAGGCGCATGGATCACTTGAAGTCAGAAGTTCAAGACCAGCCTGGTCAACATGTCAAAACCCTGTCTCTACTAAAAATACAAAAAAATTAGCTGGGCATGGTGGTGGGCACCTGTAGTCCCAGCTACTTGGGAGGATGAAGCAGGAGAATTGCTTGAACCTGGGAGGTGAAATCTTCAGTGAGCTGAGATTGCGCCACTGTACTCCAGTCTGGGAAACAGAGTTACAATCTCAAACAAACAAACAAACAAACAAACAAAAAAATGAGCTGATGAGCTTCTCTGTCTTTCAATTTTTTAATCTCCTGTTTTAAAAAAATATAGTAAAATTCACATAATGGCTGGGCATGGTGGCTCATACCTGTATCGCCGCACTTTGGGAGACTGAGGAGAATGGATTGCTTGAGCCCAGGAGTTCGAGACCAGCCTGGGCAATGTGGTGAAACCCTGTCTCTACAAAAAATGCAAAACAATTAGCCAGGCGTGGTGGTGTCCTCTGGTCCCAGCTACAACGGAGGCTGAGGTGGGAGGATCTCTTGAGCCCAGGAGGTCAAGGCTGCAGTAAGCTGTGATCATGCCACTACACTCCAGCCTGGGAAGCAGAGCAAGACCCTATCTCAAAAACAAAACAAAACAAAAAACCCCACAAAATTAGTTATTTTAGCCATTTTAAAGTATACACTTCGGTGGCATTTACTGCATTCACAGTGTTGTGCAGCCATCAGCCCTGTCTAACTTCAGAATTCTCCTTACCCCAGCAGGAAATCCGTGCTCCTTAGCACTTACTCCCATCCCACCTCTCTTTCCCAGGAACCTGGAGCCTACCTTTTGTCTCTATGGAGCTTTCTCTTTCGGGCATTTCATATAGAGTCATAAAGTGCGTGGCTTTTTGTGCTGGGCTTCCTTCACTCTGCGTCATCTTCTCGAGGGTCATCCGTGCTGGAGCGTGTGGCAGTACTTCATGCCTGGGTTTTTTTTTCCGCCTCCCGAATTCAAGCGATTCTGCTGCTTCAGCCTCCTGAGTCGCTAGGATTACAGGTGCGCACCACCACGCCCAGCTAATTTTTGTATTTTATTTTAGTAGAGATGGGGTTTTACCATGTTGGTCAGGCTGGTCTTGAACTCCTGACCTCACAGGATCCACCCATCTTGGCCTCCCAAAGTGCTGGGATTACAGATGTGAGCCACCACATCCAGCCAACTTTATTCCTTTTCATGGCTCAGTAATATTCCATCGTACAGCTCTGCCACATTTTGTTTATTCATCCATCTACTGAAGGACATTTGTGGGGGTGGTCTCTTTGCATTTTTCAGACGTTTCATGAGAGCATTGTGGCTGTGAGTGACAAGCTGACATCCTGCACGCTAGCACTTTACAAAAATATTGTGCAAGACCTACCTCCCACTCCGTCAAAGTTCCATTACATCTTCAACCTTCGAGATCTCTCACGGGTTTTTAATGGTCTTGTCCTCACTAACCCTGATCGGTGAGTTGGTTTGTCTTACTAAAACATGCCCCACAGGTATGATGGCTTTTCTTATTCTTTTAAGACAGAGGGCTTATCAATGGATTGGATGAATCACTGTATGAATTAAGGACCCAATGTCTTTGCTTATGTTAAACGAAGAGGCGAGACCAATGCTTGGCTTAAGGCTTGATGCTTTGTAAGCCACTCAGTTGAAACACCTGGACGGGAGAAGCAGAATTGTGGGCAGACGCGTCACACCCCTCGGGCAGAACTGTGTTGTTGACTTCCCGTTTGCAGTTCTGAAGTTGGAATTTGCCTGCATGGAGCCTTTTGCTCACATAACTCAAATCGTTGCCGGTTCATTATAGAATGTATGTCTTCAGGAGAAGTAAGTGGAGGACAGAAAGGATTTGAGTCTGGGTATAGGCAAATTCCCCATTAAAACTAGACTTATACCTTCACATAAATGTCTACTTCATTCTATGCGGATTTGCAAGCATAGTCCAGTTATGTGGATTTATATTATGAACCTGGAAGATACTGAAAAATGAATTGAGAACTTTCCATGTATCCTGCTCTTAGGTGCCTTGAAACGTGTAGAGTGTCAGGGGTGGTCAGCAGAGGGCAGCTCCAGGTGTTTTGGGTGGAGTGATGGTTCTTTGCTAGAAAGCAGGAGAAGTTCTGGAACTGGGGCCGGAAGGAGTTGGCTCTTAGAAAAAGGAGCTATTGGCCAGGTGCAGTGGCTCATGGCTATGGTCTCAGCATTTTGGGAGGCCAAAGGAGGATTACTTGAGCCTGGGAGTTTTAGACCAGCCTGGGCAGCATAGTGAGACTCCATCTCTATAAAAAAATTAAAAAATAGCTGAATGTGGTGGTGCATACCTGTAGTCCCAGCCACTTGGGAGGCTGATCGCTTAAGCCCAGGAATTTGAGACGGCGGTGAGCCATGGTTGCGCCAGTGCACCAGCCTGGGTAACAAAGCAAGGCCCCGTTTCTTAAAATAAGAAGAAAGAAAAAAAAAGGAGCTGCCAGTGACCCTGATGCTGGTTTTAAATCTGTGTATTCCAGCAAGTAGGGAGATGTCAGGTACTTATTTTATGTCATTTATAGACAACGCTCTTTTCTTCTTTCCTACAGTAAGATTAGCTACAGATGATGACTTTAGGGTCTTTACATTAATTTATTAGCTTCTGTTGGGTCCTGTGGTTAGATTTCATTTATGTGAGACTAGCAAGGGCAAGACTAGAGAGACGCTGGGCCTTTACTGGGCCCTGTGTGTCTGTATGACTGTCACAGCCGTCGGTCCTGGTATCCTGCAGGTGGCTTCCTGGCTGATTTTTGTCTCTTCCATTCTGCAGATTCCAGACAGTGGCCCAGGTGGTGAGAGTCTGGAGGAATGAGTGTCTGAGGGTCTTCCACGACCGGCTGATCAGTGAAACAGACAAGTGTCTGGTCAGTACGTCCAATGCATCAGCAAGAGCAAAACTCAGCGACCAAATTCTCAGGAAAATAAACAAGCGCCAAAAGGGCTTTTTATACAGGACGCTAATTGCAGGAAAATAGACACTAACATGAGAAGTCAACAGGCCAAGGAGTGTGGGTCGGTTATTAAGCCTTGCAGCAACTGAAAAAATAGAATGCAAATTGTTTTAGATAATAATAGTGTATCCTCTTTTCCTAACGAGTTTTAGCTTGTGAACTGTTATTGAGTTTGCGGTCTTAAGTGGGCTTCTGTTTCAAGGTACAAGAGCACATAGGCGGCTTGGTTACGGAACATTTTAACGATGACGTGGAGGTGGTGATGAGGAATCCCATATTGTTTGGAGACTTCCGAATGGCCCTGCACGAAGGAGAACCGCGCATTTATGAAGACATCCAGGACTACGAGGCAGCCAAGGCTCTGTTCCAGGTGGGGACGAGCTCCACCCTGTCCGCGGGCTCGCTTGCGTGGGCCAGGCGGGGAGCTGAGCATTGCATGGGTGCCCAGGAGCCTAACATGCATGGCTCCTGTCTGAGGGCTTGAAATACAGGCTTATGTCTTGTCCAATGAACCCCCACATCCAGCATGCTCGGGAGTGACGTTAGGAAACTTAAATGGACTCCTGGGCCACCCCGGGAGACTTGCTCGGGCCCACGGAGGGTCCCCGGATTCTTGTGCACAGCCAGGTTTGGAAACCGCTTGTTTGACTCCCTAATATTCATTTTCATTCAAATTCACGAGATGAGCCTTGTTACCTGCTTTGGGTCGCTGCTGGCCAATCAAAGCCCAGCAGATGGAAATCTCGATTGTGAAAGCTAGATTAGTCCCAGAGACACAAAGAGTTTAATTATTTTAACTACTATAGATGTTCAGAAAAACCTCTCTTCCATTGTTAATCTCCTCTGGACAAAAGGAGGACGCCCATCTCTTAAAATCCAGTGATCCTTTAAGACATTTTTAATTTGTTTTATTTATTCATTTTGAGACAGGGTCCCTGTCTGTCACCCAGGCCGCAGTGTAGTGGTGCAGTCTTGGCTCACTGCAGCCTCAACCTCCTGGGTTCAAGTGATCCTCCTGCTTCAGCCTCCCGAGTGGCTGGGACTAGGGGCACACATCACCGGGCCCAGCTAATTTTTTTATTTTTATTTTTGTAGAGACAGAATCTTGCTTTGTGGCCCAGATTGGTCTCAAACTCCTGGGCTCAAGTGATCCTCCTGCCTCAGCCTCCCAAAGTGCTAGGATTATAGGCATGAGCCACCACGCTGGGTTTAAAACTTTTTTTTTTTTAATGCAGGAAATTCTTGAAGAGTATAATGAAAGCAACACCAAAATGAAGTTGGTTCTCTTTGATGACGCCCTGGAGCATTTAACCCGGGTGCACCGTGTCATCCGCATGGACCGTGGCCACGCCCTGCTGGTCGGGGTAGGGGGCTCGGGGAAGCAGTCTCTTTCGAGGCTGGCTGCCTTCACAGCTGGCTGCGAGGTCAGTCCATGTCCCCTCCCAGAAATCGGTTGATGATGCCAGTCTCTGCAGTTAGTAGTTCATGTACATACTGGAGCAATCCACAGCAGATCCTAACAGGATGTTTTCATAGAGTGCGTTTTTGCCTTGTTTTAGGCTTGATATTATATTTTAACTGAACAGTCAAAGCTTTGACTTAGGATGGGGTTACATCCCGATAAACTCATCATAAGTCAGAAATATCGTGACTTGAAAATGCATTTAATATCCCGATAAACCCATTGTAAAGTTGAAACAACCTAAGTGGAACCATTGAAGCTGGGGACCATCTGTATTGCCTTGTTTTTAGGCTGGAGAATGTCAGATCAAGTTGGAAAGTCAAACACAAGCAAATCCCTTGGAAGGGGATGTGTGTTCCTATGAGGAGGGCTTGGCCCAAACCTCAGTGGACCCCTCCTATGGGGTTGGCAATTTGCTGGCTGCCATATCTGCACAGCCTGCACTCACCGCTCTGGGTTAATCTTAGAATCTTTTATTTTTAAACAGTTTTACTGAGATTGAATTCAAGAACAGGCAATCTGCACATTCAAAGCACACAAACCAGTGCTTTCCGGTGTGTTCACAGAACTGTGCAACCATCACCACAGAATACTTTAGAGCATTTTTGTGGCATCGGCCACAAAATGTGGTGGTTCATGCCTGTAATCCCAGCACTTTGGGAGGCCGAGGCAGGGGAATCACTTGAGGTCAAGAGTTCGAGACCAGCCTTGCCAACATCGTGAAACCCCGTCTCTGCTAAAAATATAAAAATTAGCCAGGCGTGGTGACAAGCACCTGTAATCCCAGCTCCTCGGAGGCTGAGGCAAGGGAATTGCTTGAACCTGTGAGGCGGAGGTTGCAGTGAGCTGAGATCATGCCAAAGCACTCCATCCTGGGCGACGGAGCAAGATTCTGTCAAAAAAAACAACAAAAAACGAAAACGTTTTTGTGGCCTCAAGAAGAAATCCCATGCCCTTTAGTGATTACCACCCTGATCTCTGCACCCTCTGCTCGCTGAGCACTGAGCAACTAGCTACTAATCTGCTTTCTGTGGTATCGTCTCCCTGTTCTAGACTTTCATATGAACAGTGTGTGTGTCTATTTTGTGTCTGGCATCTTTTTTAGTTCATGTTGCAGCGTATATCAGTACTTCATTTTTTTTTTTTTTGACCAATAAGCTTCCCTTGTATGACTGTGCCTGTTTCCTTTATCCATCGCTGGACACTTTATTGTTTGCACCTGTTGGCTTTTGTGAACAGTGCTGCTGTGAACTTTCATGCCACTTGCTGTGTGGATGTGTGTTTGCATTGCTCTTGGGGATGCTCCTGGGAGTGGAATTGAGGGGCCCCATGATAAATCTTATGTTTAATCATCTAAGAAAGCTCCAGGGTGTGGCTGCACTGTTTCTGTTCCTCCCAGCAGCATCTGAGGGTTCCTATTTCTCCACACCATTCTTAGAATTATACAGGTACCGCTGCAGCTTCCACAGGTAACTCACCTGCAGAGGCCTCTGAAGTGGAGGCAGGCGCTGTGCACTGAGACGTCGTGTGAAGAAGAATCATCTCCCTAATCCACCCTTTTCTCCCCAGACCCTTCATTAGTTCTCTGGTATCTGACTTCATCCACTGTTCAGGTCTTCCATTGTCCAGATGCCTCTGTTTTCACCTCCAGTTTTACGATACACATGCATGCTTATAATATTTTTAACTTACAGCGGGTTTATAGAGACATAGCCCCATCATACGCTGAAAATGTACACTAAAATGCAACCAGTACCTAATAGCAGCTACCTTTAGGTGACAACATTACAAATGATCTTTATTTTCTTTAGATGTTTCTGCATTGCTTGAATTGTTGCAAAGAGAATTATTATATTTAAAGAGAGAGAGATGAGTGAGTCTATAACCATCGTGATGATTACTCTGTACAGTGGCCTGAAGGTTTGCCTGCACCTGCTCTGCGTGTGTGCTGCAGGACAGGGTCCGTGTTCAGCCTCCGTTCTTCTCAGACACTCAGACACTCAGCCACCCCTCATGTCTAGCTCAGACCCCTTTGACAAGCCACCTTTCGAGAAGATACTTCTTGCTGAAAGGTCATTTCATGACCCTTCTTCTAGCAAGTAAGAGGTGTTCTTTTGCATAGACTTTCTTGTTTGTCTTCAGCGTGTTTTCTGGAATCAGATCGAACTCAGCATCATCGCTATTACCACAGAGAGTCTTAGGCAGTTCAGGCTGTCATAACAAAGCGTGATAGATGGGCTGGCATGTGGACAGCGGATGCTTGTTTCTTACCGTTCTGGAGGCTGGCAATTCCAAGATCAGGGTGCCACATGGTCGGGCTCCAGGGAGGGCCCTGTCCTGCGTTGCAAATGGCTGGCTTCTCATGGTATCGTCACACAGATGGATAAGAGCAAGAAAAGTCTTGGGGGTCCCTTTTATAAGGGCACTAATCCCATTCATGAGGGCTCCACCCTCATCACCTAATTGCCTTCTAAAAGCCCAGCCTCCAAATACCATCACACTGGGGCTTATGATTTCAACACGGGAAATTTTTTTTTTTTGGTAGGTGGAACAAACGTTCAGTCCATTGCATGGAGTAAGAATTGCTATTGATGTGGGCTCACTCATTTCTGTCTCTAAATGGAATAATTATCACTGCAACAATTCAAACAATGCAGAAACGTCTAAAGAAAATAAGGACCATTCGTAATTTCATCACCTAAAGATTGCCATTGTTAGGCACCAGCAGCATTTTAGTGCATACTTCTTCTTTTATAAAATTCTTTGTGGCTCACGCTTGTAATCCCAGCTCTTTTGGAGGCCGAGGTGGGTGGATCACGAGGTCAAGAGATCGAGGCCATCCTGGTCAACATGGTGAAACCCCACCTCTACTAAAAATACAAAAATTAGCTGGGCATGGTGGCGCACGCCTGTAGTCCCAGCTACTCGGGAGGCTGAGGCAGGAGAATTGCTTGAACCCAGGAGGCGGAGGTTGCGGTGAGCCGAGATCGCGCCATTGCTCTCCAGCCTGGGTAACAAGAGCGAAACTTCGTCTCAAAAAAAAAAAAAAAAATTCTTTTTCTGTTATTTTAATTTTTGGTCTGGGGACCAAAGGGGTAATGTGCCCTTTTCAACTTACAGTGGGGCTATGTCCCAGTAAACCCGTCACAAGCTGAAAATATTATTAGTTAAAAATACACTTTTGATTTATATATTCAACTTACAGTGGGTTTATCTGGATCTGACCCCACCGTAAGTTGAGGATTGTGCTGAAAGCATGGCACTTTCACATCACGGCAAAGTCAAAAAATTCTAAGTTGAACCATAGGAAATCAGGGACCATATGTGCATTCATACACAAACATATCTTCTTCGTGCCAGCAGTGGGTTAATGTGAGGTAATGGAATATAAGTTATGTAACTTTTCCCTACTGTATCACTGCATCTTTTCATGTCAATAAATATGTGTTTACATTGTCTTTGGAAAGATTGGACAGTGTCCCAGTGTCTGGATATGCCACACGTAACCCATCTCTGCTGGCGAGCAGTTAGCTTTTTCCTTGTTTTTAAATTACAGTGTAGTGATGAACACCTTTGCTTATATATCTTTGAGTATTATTCAGCTTTTTTCCCATAGGATCACTTTCTTTAGAAATTGGTAAATTGGCGGGTTAAAGGGTATATGCTTTTTCAAGGCTTCTGTTGTATGGCGCCAGATTTTGTATTGGAAAGGTTGGACCTAAGCCCATGTGGAGTTTGGCTTCATGGAGTGAAAAGAACCCCAGGATGCAGGACATAGGAGAGGTAAAAGTGTCCTTATTAACAACCAAGCACCCCACCACAAAGGATCACGCTAATTTATGCAGCTGGCAATGTCCGTTTTCACATACCCTTGCCAGTACTGGATAGTGTCATTCTGATATTTGCCAAGATTATAGGTGGAAAATATTCCATTTTAAATGAGCCTTCCTCCAATTAATAGTGAGTAGCCTTTTATACATTCATTGGACATTTACCTTTTTTGTGAGTTGCCTCTTTGTATACTTATTGATTTGTGAGAACTCTGTATAGAAAAGAATCACAGTTCATTCAATGAATCCAGCTTCCAATATTTCACAAATATTGGCCTTTTATTTAAGGTATTTGTAAAAAGGGAAAAACGAATATGCATGATCTACCTTTAAATCTGATGAAATACATAATTGAAATCATTCATTATTAAAATGTAACTTTTGCAATTGTTTTCCACATTTTTCTGTAGGATAAGACATTCCCTGCCGGAAAGTTTGTTTTTTGTTTTTTCCGTTGATTTGTCCTGGTAAACCGGAGGCATTTTTCCCTGAAGTAGTGGCTTGAGGAATGGCAGAGAGGACGTTGAGGGCAGAGATCTGGAGGAGGGTGAGAACACACAGGGCTGTGTCTGGGCCCTAGGAAGCAGAGAGGGTTAGGTAGTGGGGTCAGAACAGGTGTTCAGAGAGTATGGCAGAAGCTGCTGGGGAGGGGAGGCGGCTGCACTTGGGAGGGGTGAGGAAGGTTTGCAGGTGACAGGCAGAGCTGGAGACCAGAGTCTACTGGCCTGAAGGCATCCTGGTTGCCTTGCGTGTGTGCATGTGCATGCGTGCACATGTGTGTGAGTGTGTGTGCTAGGTCATGCCAGGGTGCAAGTTGGCGTGTGGCTGAGTGTGAAAATGTGGGAATGACCGTGTGTGTGTGACTGTGTGTGACAGTGTGAGTGAAGCATGTGTGTGAATGCATAGGGTTGAGGGAGGTAGGGAACGGGAAGAGAGCTCTCGGTTCCTGGAAATCTGATATGTTTCTGACGTTCGCTGGTTGCAAGGAAAGTTTTAATTTCTACTTCTGAGCTAAAAGAGACACTCGAGCAGAAAAAGTGTGCTTTAAACTTGTGTCCTTCACATTTATACCGATTTTGTGTGTACGTTGGATTTTGTGTGTACATTGGATTTCCTGTCTAGAAGTTAAAGTGCCTGCTGATTTCACTTCTGGACCTATTTTCTTACAGCGTCTAATGTTCTGTAAACTGCAGTATGTTGCTGGCGCTCACCTTGGGGTGCGTTCTTCCCCACTTTCCTCTGTTGCTGGTCTCATGGGGCTTCCCCCTCCTCTGTTTCACAACAGGGAGTCCCTTCCAGACATGTGCCCTCTGTACTCTTCCCCCAGTGTCCCGCCCCGGAGCCTGCAGGGAAGGGAGGCTAATGGGGGTGACTCGTGGGCTGTGTCTATGCTGCAGGTGTTTGAGATCCTGCTGAGCCGAGGCTACTCGGAGAACAATTTCCGGGAAGACCTGAAGAGCCTGTATCTGAAACTCGGGATCGAGAACAAAGCGATGATCTTTCTGTTCACGGATGCCCACGTGGCTGAGGAGGGCTTCTTGGAGCTCATCAACAACATGCTGACCTCAGGTACAGCCAAGGCCAGCGCCTGCTGTGGCCAGCATCCCGGTCATCTGAAGGGAGGTGGCTTTCTTTAGCAGTTACCACCTCCAGACACTGTGGGTGGCCCTGTGCCGGTGTCCCTGTCCCTCCCTCGCTGAGGCTCCTGAGATAGGTCTCATTATCTCCCTTGGCTCCTCCCATCCTGGGAGTCTTCCAAATGTGCCCCATTCTCTCTGTCAGCGATGATGGCAGTGCCCCTGCGGTAAGAGCAGGTGGTATCTGAGCATCTGCCTGTGCCCCAGGGCATGCTAGTGTGCATCATGCATTCCACACAAACCTGATGAGAGGCTGGGCGTGGTGGCTCCCACTTGTGATCCCCGCACTCTGAGAGGCCAAGGAAGGAGGATGGCATGAGCCCAGGAGTTTGAGACCTGCCTGGGCAACATAGCGAGACCCCATCTTTACAAAAATATTTTTTATAAGTTAGCCAGGGATGATGGCCTGAGCCTGTAGTCCCAACTACTTAGGAGGCTGAGGCAGGAGGATTGCTTGAGCCTGGGAGGTTGAGGCTGCAGTGAGCCATGACCATGCTATTGCACTTCAGCCTGGTTGGCAGAGTGAGACCCTGTCTCCCAAAAGAAAAAAACAAAACACAAAAACCAAAAAATCAAACCCGATAGGGAGGGTATCATTAACTACCTCACGTCACAGCTGAGGAAACTGAGGCTCAGGGCTGCTGTAGAGGGGCTGAGCGGTGGCCCTGCAAAAGACACCTCCTGGTCCTCAACCCCTGGAACTTGTGAATGAGACCTTTTAAAGAGTCTTTGCAGGTGTAATTAAATTAAAGATATTGAAATGACATCCTGGTTTTAGGGTGGTTCCTAAATCCTGTGACAGCTGTCCTTATAATAGAAGGCAGAGCGGGATTTGAGACACAGAGAAAAATGTCCCCTAAAGATTCTCACAAGCCATGGGACTCCTGGAACCACTGGAAGCCAGAAGAGGCAAAGAAGGATTCCCCCCCGGAGCTTTGGGCAGGTTACCCCGAGACCTTGATCTCAGGGCCTCCAGAGCAGCAAGAGACTAGGTGTCTGTATGTCTTGTCTTAAGTCACTCGCTTGTGGTAATTAGTCATGGTTGCCCCAGAAAACTGCTAGAGATGCCACCTCCCTTATCCAAGGGCACCTTGCTGGGAAGGCACTGAGGGAGGACTCGAACCCAGGACTTCTAACATCTTAGCCACACTCTCAACCATGTTACCGTGTTGTGATCCTGTCTGCCCTGGGGCCCTGCTAAGGTCCATGCCGAGTTTGTCTGGCCTAATGGCTTACAGGGACCTCTTGCTTTTCCTGGGGATCTATTTCATTGATTGCTTGTTTGTTTTAGTACCTGACCATATTCATTATTGTATTGCCGTGTTATTCATTGAGCCCCAGCCCCCTAACATTTACGATAAAACATTTCTAACACGACAGTGAGGCTGAAAGAATCTTTTCTGTGAACACCTGCTGGCATGCTGTCTAGATCCCTCCGTTCACATCTTACTGCACTTGCTTTGTCACGCATGTAAACACCTTTCCCTCCCACCCTCCCTGCTTCAACCCATCTCATTTTAGATGCGTTTCAAGTCAATTGCAACATCACTGCTCTCCCCGCTAAATGTGTCTGCATGCCACTCTCTAGAGTTCAAGTTTTGTTTCTGTTTTCTTTTGATGTAAAATTTATGTACAGGGAAATGCACACTTTAAGTGTATATTTGCTGCATTTTGATCGTTGGGTTTTAAGTTGCGTCTGTTTCAGTGGGTTGTCAGCTCTTTGAGAGGAGGGATTGTGTCACCCACCTGGATTTATTCCACAGTGTTTATTCCAGACACTGGGTTTGGTAGGGGGTAAGATGGTCATGACCCCTGCCCTCCTTGGAGCATGCGCTTCAGGGTGTGAGTGGGTTGGTTAAGGACAAGAACAGATAGGCAGAGAGATACAGCACCTGCAGACTGTCGTAAGGGTCATGCGTGCAAAGGGAGAGCGTGGGCAGAAGCCATCTCAGGGCAGGCAGGGAATGCTTCACTGTAGAGACTCTTCAGCTGGGACCTGAGAGACGGTGTGTGATCGTGCTCCCTGTGGCTGCTGTTACAAATTTTCCCAAACAGCACAGATTTACGCCTTTATGCGCCTAGAGGTCAGAAATCAGAAAAGAGTCTTAAGGGGTTAAAATCAGGGTGTTGCTGGGGCTGGTTCCTTCCAGAGCTTCCTGGGTAGACTGTTTCCCTGTCTCTTCCAACTTCTTCAGGCCACCGGTATGAGTCATTACAGTAAAAGGACACAGAGCAATGTCAGCAGAGGGAAAAGGCGCATGAGGGACCCTGGGGAAGACCGGTCTCAAGCTTCGGAGTCCTCTGCCCGGGGAGTCACACAGGACATGCTTAATCCCCCGAGTCGTGGCAACTCATGAAGTACCGTCCACCAGGAGAGCTAGTCGGAGACTCAGTGCTCAGGGTTTTTATTGGGGCTGCTCATGTAGGCACCTCTACCTGGCATGTGCCAAAATCCCAGATGACTGGAGGGAGAGCAGGTAGTCAGCATAGAATACCCTGCTTACACAGTCTGTGTGGGCACAGTGTAGTATTAGGCTGTTCTTGCATTGCTATAAAGAAATATCTTAGACTGGGTAATTTATAAAGAAAAGAGGTGGCCAGGCACAGTGGCTTACGCCTGTAATCCCAGCACTTTGGGAGGCTGAGGCAGGTAGATCACGAGGTCAGAAGTTCAAGACCAGCCTGGCAAAGATGGTGAAACCATGTCTCTACTAAAAATACAAAAATTAGCCAGGCACAGTGCAGGCCTCTGTAGTCCCAGCTGCTCCTAGAGGCTGAGGCAGGAGAATTGTTTGTATTTGGGCAGCAGAGGTTGCAGTGAGCCGAGATTGCACCATGGCACTCCAGCCTGGGCAATAGAATAAG